AGAATTTCAATATTATTGAAAATTTTGTCCTATTTGGTGATTTAAAAAAAAAAAAATTAAAAGATTTGACAAGATAATAGAATATCTTTTATAGAAATTAAGATGAAGAAGAAGAAGAAATGTTAAATGATGGATACTAGAGTTTCCACTTTCTCAATTACTCAACTTCTCTCATTTATATGTTCTAATTAATCCTTTAAAAAAAGTCATAAGAAAATGTTCGATTAATTACAATTTTTTTTTATGATAATTTCTTTTGAAATTTATTATACAATAATTATAATCGTGAATTAAAATTTAATTATAATTATAATTAAAATTACGAATTAGAATCAGGATTATAAATATAATTGTGAATCATAGTTATGATTATAATTATAAATATAATTGTGACTCATAACTATGATTATAATTATAATTGTGAATCATAATTATTATTATAATTATAATTGTGAATCATAACTATGATTATAATTATAATTGTGAATCATAACTATGATTATAATTATAATTGTGAATCATAATTATTATAATAATTATAATTGTGAATCATAAATATGATTACAATTATAATTGTGAATCATAACTATGATTATAATTATAATTGTGAATCATAATTATTATAATAATTATAATTGTGAATCATAAATATGATTACAATTATAATTGTGAATCATAACTATGATTACAATTATAATTGTGAATCATAACTATGATTATAATTGTGAGTCATAAATATGATTACAATTATAATTGTGAATCATAACTATGATTACTATTATAATTGTGAATCATAACTATGATTATAATTATAATTGTGAATCATAACTATGATTATAATTATAATTGTGAATCATAACTATGATTATAATTATAATTGTGAATCATAACTATGATTATAATTATAATTGTGAATCATAACTATGATTATAATTATAATTGTGAATCATAATTATTATAATAATTATAATTGTGAATCATAAATATGATTACAATTATAATTGTGAATCATAACTATGATTACAATTATAATTGTGAATCATAGCTATGATTATAATTGTGAGTCATGAATATGATTACAATTATAATTGTGAATCATAACTATGATTACAATTATAATTGTGAATCATAACTATGATTACTATTATAATTGTGAATCATAACTATGATTATAATTATAATTGTGAATCATAACTATGATTATAATTATAATTGTGAATCATAACTATGATTATAATTATAATTGTGAATCATAACTATGATTATAATTATAATTGTGAATCATAATTATTATAATAATTATAATTGTGAATCATAAATATGATTACAATTATAATTGTGAATCATAACTATGATTACAATTATAATTGTGAATCATAGCTATGATTATAATTGTGAGTCATAAATATGATTACAATTATAATTGTGAATCATAACTATGATTACAATTATAATTGTGAATCATAACTATGATTACTATTATAATTGTGAATCATAACTATGATTATAATTATAATTGTGAATCATAACTATGATTATAATTATAATTGTGAATCATAACTATGATTATAATTATAATTGTGAATCATAATTATTATAATAATTATAATTGTGAATCATAACTATGATTATAATTGTGAATCATAACTATGATTGTAATTGCGAATTATAATTACGATTATAATTATAATTGCGAATGATATATAATTAAAAATAATTAATAACAAATACATAAAATTAAATATTAATTATATAATTTTATATAATAATATAAATGAATAAATGTAGAAATAATTAATATGACAAATTTACAATTATAAGTGAGATGAAAAAATAATTCTGCTGGAAATTAATAAATTGAAAAAGATATTTATTATTGACCTAATTTTTTATTGTAGCGTAAGGGTTATAACTAATGATACTCGACACTCAGGTTCCAATAATTTCTATTGCGACCATAAAGCACACACTGTTATGAGTGTACTATTTTCGCGCTGTTACATCCATTAAATTGCCTCAAAACTTTATTAATAATTGTTGTTAAAAAAAAAATGTAGAAATTTAAAAAAAATTTTCTTTTTATTAATTTTCATTTTATTTTTTCCCCAAATACTTTGACAATATAATTTTTTATTACATATAAAAAATAAAAAAAATTTATATAATTTTTTTATTTCACAAGAGAAAATAAAATTATTTTTTTTATATACGATAATTTTATCATATTCTTTTATATAATAAAATTTCTTTTTCATTCTCTTTATAATTAAATTTTTGATTCACTTTGTCACAAACAATGATCAACGTTTGTTTTTGAAAAAAACAGCATTTAATTTATTACTCATATTGTCAGAAGTTTTAAAAGAATAACTAATTTCTAAAACAAGGAGTGCTTGACTTTTTTAATTAAGAGTTAATTTCAAAGTACATGCGTAATGAATACCGTAAATTGAGTGAGAGAGAGAGTGAGAGAGAGAGGGGGGGGGGAGAGTCTGAAATAATTATAAAACATGACTTGAAGCAAAAAAAATAAAATTAACAAAACTGTTTTAAATTTACTAGATAATGAAACATTGTTTTTTTTTTATTTATTTTTTTATTTAAATGCGATGAAATAATTGCATTAAAATAGAGACAATAATGAGAAAAGAAAAAATCTTTAAATTTTTTTTTCATTAATTGACTGATTCGTTCAATTTAATATCATTTCAGTTAAAATTTTCTAAAGTCTTTTCTATACACAGAGGGATTATGAAATTTATGTGAGAAAAAAAAATCAACTAGTCTTTTGGGAATAAGACAGTTAGGAAACATATACGCGTCAGGTATATTTTTTTATGTCTTTTTTACGTGTTTCAATAATAAAAAAAAGGGTCGTTAATTTTTTTTTTTAATTTTTCTATTATGCAAAAATATAGCCTATTGTGCAAATTTTTGAATTATTGCAAAAAAAAATCAAAGAATTTAATTTTATTATTGCAAAAAATTTCTCCCATAAAATAAAATTTTTTTATTTTATTGTTGAAAAAATTTTCAATGAAATAAAAAATTTTGTTTTATTGTTGCAAAATTTCGAGAAAATAAAAAATTTTATTTTACTTTTGCAAAATTTAGATAAACTAAAAAAATTTATTTTTATTTTATTTTATATTTATTTTGTTTATTTTTATTTTATTTTATATTTATTTTGTTTTATTGTTGCAAAATTTTGTAAAATAAAAAATTTAATCCTGTACAAATTTTTAAAGCACAAAAAGTATAAAAATTTTTATTTTTTGATTAAAATTTAAAAACTTATGATAATAAAAAATTTCTTATGCATTTATAAGTGGGATAATAGATTACGGGGATTATAAAATATATATAACTATGCTATATATATATATAATAGACTAGATAATATATATAATAGAAACGATAATTGTAAATGAATAATGATGAGAATATAATAATTTGCGATGCAAATTAGATATAATACAAACGCAACACCTTGTTTTTCGATTCTTTGTGACTTAATTAACGTATTAATGTATATAATCCCTAATTGCTTGATGACCACACATAGACACACACACACACACACACACACACTCACACATGCTAGAAATTTTAATGACATTGTTTAATGATCCAATTATTATACACTGTACAGTACTGATTATTTTATAAAATATAAAATAAAAAATTTACAAATTTAAAAAAATAAGATCCTTTATAAATTCAGATTTAATTTTTTTCAATGTAATAATAATAAAATACACAATATAAATATACTTTTTTTTTATATTTTCTATAACAAAAAGAGTAAAAATTCTATTTTTAGAAATTTTTTTTTATATTTCGCCTAAAAACTTAAAAAAAAAAAAAATACTAACTAAAATTAATAAAAAATTCCCATAGAAATTCAGATGTCATGAAAACATAATTTTTTCAATGTAAAAGTAAAATACATAAACGATATAAAATTTTTTTTTTATTTCAATTTTTTTTTCTATAAAATTTAAATTAATAACAAAAATAATTAATAATAATATATTTTTTTCATATAGATATAGAATAAAAAAAGAGTAAAAATTCTATTTTTAGAAATGTTTTTTCATATTTCGCCTAATTTAGTAAACAAAAAATAGAACCTAGTAAAAATTAATAAAAAAAAAATCCCTGGAAAAGCGATATAAATTTCATTGAAACAGCGAAATGTTTTACTAAAACAGAGAGAAGGTTTTTGCTATTCCAGAGAAAAAAAAATTGCTGTCCCAGATAAAGATTTTTTTTTTTATTTTAAAATATAGAACAAAAAGAATAAAAATTCTATTTTTATAATTTATTTTTAGTTTTTTGCCTAAAAATTTGAGTAAAAAAAAACATATTAAAATTAATCTGCAACCAACTAAAAATTAATAAAAAAAATTCCCATAGAAATTCATATTTCACAAAAACATAATTTTTTCAATGTAATAGTAAAATACATATAATCGATATAAAATTTTTTTGTTTATTTCAATTTTTTTTCTATAAAATTTAAATTAATAACAAAAATAATTAATAATAATAATATATTTTTTTTCATATAGATATAGAATAAAAATTCAATTTTTAGAAATGTTTTTTTTTATTTCGCCTAATTTAGTAAACAAAAAATAGAACCTACTAAAAATTAATAAAAAAAAATCCCTGGAAAAGCCGATATAAGTTTCATTAAAACAGCGAAATGTTTCACTAAAACAGAAAGAACGTTTTTGCTATTCCAGAGAAAAAAAAATTGCTGTCCCAGATAAAGATTTTTTTTTTTTAATTTTAAAATATAGAACAAAAAGAATAAAAATTCTATTTTTATAATTTTTTTTGCCTAAAAATTTGGGTAAAAAAAAAACCTATTAAAATTAATCTGCAACCTACTAAAAATGAATAAAAAGAAATCCCCATATAAATTACGATTAAAGTTAAAAATTTTTTTTAATATAAAAATATCACAATAAAAAAAATTTTTATATACATACCCCACTGTAAATTGCACATGCGAAACTTCCTCTGCGAACAGATCGCCAACAGCAACAGGATTGCATGATTGCCATGCTGGAAGCACATGGACAAGCATAGATTTTTTTCAGAAAAAAAAAGAAAAACAAATTTTCTATCGCGTGTTGAAAAAAAAAATTATTTCAAATTAATTTTTCTATTATTCATCAATTGAGTCCATTTTTTATATTGAAATGAATGTAAAATAAAATATTTTTCAATTGTAAAAAATAATTTATATCTTGCTATGGGAGTTTGTATCCAAATATTCTTCATTATTTTTTCTTTCGTAAATTTTTTTTTGAAAAGTATATATATATATATATAGAGACAGGATATATAGACAGGATGAGAGCGATCCTGGAAGTTGAAATCAACCGCACGGGGTGGCAACTACTGACGTTCTTCATCACATTTACTCTTCTTAGTTTCCTAAACGCATGCGCCTAATTCGTTTTATTTTTATTTCTAAAAAAAAACTCCCCCTTTAAGTCCACCCTTTAAAAATGTTATTTCACAAAATTAAAAGTAAACCAAAAAATTATTTACATAATAATATTTATTAAAATATAATTTAAGTAACATTTTCCGTTGAAATTTTTTTTTATATTTTGTTTGTTAAAAAAAAAATTTAATAAAAAATAAGAAACGATTTTGGAATATGAAAACAAAAATAGAGTAATTATAATAAAAATTATTTATTATAAATAATTTATTTTTTTTTATTTCCAGATTTTTAATTTTTCCACAAGTCCATTATATTATAGTATAAATATAACACGTTTAAAAAACTTTTACATCAGAAACCTTATTATCTAGATGGAGAAAGAAACTTTTCTTGCTTATAAGTAAATATTAAAATTTATCTCCAGGGAAAATCAATAAATCATTTTTATCGAATTAGCCTTTCTGCAATATAATATACCATATAGAACAAAACAAAAAAAAAACATTTCCAATTTTAGCTACAAAAAAAAGTAAATTAAAGATTCATAAATAAATCGAAGAAAAAAAAAAGAAAAAATATATTCACTTCAAGCAAAAGGGCTCAATCTTTGCCGATAATTTAAAATCGATTCTAATTGCATTTGATGCAATATCTATCTTCTGCTGCCGCTGCTCCATTTTCGAGAAGTTACACACCTCGAGACTATTTATTTTCTCCATCAGGTGGTTTCTTTGTGGAAAGTTAATTTTCTCCAAGGGATTTTAAGAAATATTGAAGCTAATTAATAAAAAGCCACAATTCCAAGTTCAAAAAGTCCTTTCATTTATTTTATTTCTTTTTTTTAAATCTCTTTTTCTTTATTGGCTTTTTTAATAATTTTTCTCTTTTAAAAGGCATTAAATGGAAAATTCCAAACGGTATACTATTTGTAAAATATGTTCAATATTTGTAAAAAAAAAGAGAAAATGAAAGATTAATTTTTTACAATAAAAAAAAAAAATTAGTACACAAACTTTTGTTTTGTTTAAAATTTAAAACTGAAAAAATAAAATATATTTTCCTTTAAATAATAATTACAATAAATAATTAATTTAAATTAAATTTAATAGTTTTTATTATAACAAAATAAATAATTAATAATAATAATGAATAATATTTTAAAAATAATTTTTAAAAATAGGTATAAAATATTATTTTTTTATTAAAAAAATATTTATTAAAAAGTAATTTTTTTAATTAAAAAATGTTTGTTTTACTAAAATATTTATTTAACCAGTGAAATATTAGAAAATTATTTACAATTAATATTAATAATAATATGTAATGAATAATTTTTTAAAAATAATTTTTAAAAATATAAAATATTATTTTTTTATTAAAAAAATATTTATTAAAAAGTAATTTTTTTTAATTAAAAAATTTTTGTTTTATTAAAATATTTATTTAACCATAGTGAAATATTAGAAAAATTATTTACATGTAAACTGATTTACAAAAAATCTGCCCTTTCGTATTGGTACCAACAATTAAAGAAATTATAAAAAAAATATATTAATGATATAATTATTTTTTGAAAACTAAACAAATTTTTTGAATTAAAATTTTTCATCAAATTTCTTTGAATTAATTAAATAATAATTCAAAACATTAATTATTTTTTTTCTATTTAAAAATATACAATATAAGAATTATATTTCTACTATACATTTTTGTGTATGAAAAAAATAAATTTTCCAAATTTTTTTTTTTTTATGTAAATTTAGAAATATAAATAGCAGCACCCTGGCATGGTTCCGTTGGAAAAACTAAATCTTTTATATCAGCATCCTGCAAGTCTTGTCTATTATAATATTTCTCTATAAGTGCTTCTAAAAATTTTTCTACATTATCTCTAGTTGTGATTGCAACCACACAACCACCCCATCTACAAAAAAAAGAGAAAAATTTTTATTAATTAAATTTTTACAAAAAATTTTCAAAAAGTAATTAATTTTTATTATTTTTATTTTATTTATTTATATTTATTTTTTTTTAATTTAATCGTTTTTTTAGTTCCACTGTAACAAAAAATTTCTGAAAATATATATATATAAAAAAAAGGTTTTTTGTTAAAGTTATAAACAATTAAAATTTTTAACTCTGTCTTAAATAAAAAAAGATTTCTCGATTTCCAGTTAAAATAGATTTTTCTCTTCTTGAATTGTGTACGGAAAAAAAAAATTCTATTTGAAACAGCGATTATGTTTTTTTTAGAATAGCGAAAACTTTCGCTGTTTTAGTGAAACTTATCGTTGTTCCAAATAATGATTTTTTTTTCTTGTACCAATTATTAATATCATTATTTTATTTTTATTTTAGTAATAATTTTTATTTGCATTTATTTGAGATAAATAAAATTTATTTGAATGAAATAAAAATTATATTTGAGTGAAATAAAAATATATTTGAGTGAAATAAAAATATATTTGAGTGAAATAAAAATATATTTTTCTCAGAGCCTATATAATAACTTTTTATTTATTTCAAATAAAAAAATTTAATTTTTAACACAAATAAAATTTTATTTAACCGCAAATAGAATTTTTGGTATTTTAAATCAAACTATCAGCGAGAAATATAATATATATAATTTTTAAAATAAATAAAAATTAATTTTAGTCACGCAAAATGTAAATAAATCTTATTTAAAAAAAGAAAAAGTAACATTTTTCTGATGTTGCTGAAAAATTTTTCTCTAACTCACTAATAGCATAACTAATTAAAAGTTCCAGATACTTTAGATATATATATATACATATATAAAAAAAAAGTTTCTTGCTATAACTTCAAAAGTAATTGCACTTTGCGTTCTTCCATCGTTTCTCCCAGGCATGAAACCCTATTGCTTTTTCCGCGCCTACGTATGGTATATATAAAATTTTCTTCACCATTTTTATTAATAACATGACCCACACAAATATTTTTCTTATAAATAAGTAGTTATTATTTTTCTATGATAAAAATATCATTGAGAAAAAAATTTTTTTTTAATTCTAAATATGGACTATTGTCAAATAAAATATTTATTTTAGCGAAATAATTTTTCTCTTTGAACCAATTAGTTCTATTTTTTTTTTATTAAATAATAAAAATTATTTAATACAAATAAATATTTATTTGATAACAGTAAAGTAAACGATTATTTAATTACAATTATTATTTTTTATATGAAAAAAAAAAATTTTTTTCCTGTCGTGAAATTTTTTTCTAATTTTGTAAGTAATTAATTTAAATTTTAATAATTTTATCAATATATTTTATTCCAGTTGTAATAAATAAATAAATAATTATTTAATAGCAATAGCAGTGCTACCAATAAAAAATAAAAAAAAAAATTTTTTTCTCGACGTGTCTTTCTTTTAACTTAAACGTGACGTGTCCTCTTTTTGAAGAAAATTATGACGTGTCCTTTTTTTCCCCACTAAGCAAGCGTGTTATTAAATTTCCACTAAATTTAATTTATTTAAATTAAAATTTAAATTATTTTTTTATTTTTAATTATTATTTTTTTTTTATTTATTTTAATTTACAAAACAAAAAAAAATTAATATTTCAATTTGATAGCAATTTCTTTTTTATTTTTGCTAAAAAATTTTTGATTTGAATTTTATTTGAGATTAAAATTTTCTTTTTTCAAGAAAATTATTGAATTCACTTACCCAGCCCCTGTGAGTCTTGCTCCCAATGCTCCAGAATCAAGTGCTGAATTCACAAGGGCGTCAACTTGGGGATGACTACATTCATATAATTTACAAAGACTGAAATGACTTTTAGACATGAGATTCCCCAATTGTTGAAGTTTCACATCTTCTTTTATTGTTTTATCTTCATTTATTCTTTGAAAAGTCATTACTCTCAAAGCTTCTGTATTTTTTTAAAAAAAAAGAAAATTGTTTTAATAATTCAAAAAAATTTATATTTTAATAAAAAATAAATTACTATTTTTTAAAACATTACTATTTTATTACTATTAATAATATTATTATTTTATTACTATTAATAATATTACTATTTTATTACATAGAAAAAAATCTTTATCTGGAACAGCGATATGTTTTTCTAAAATAGCAAAAACTTTCGCTGTTTTAGTAAAAAAACACTTTTCGCTGTTCCAGGTAAAGATTTTTTTTCGTGTACTAATTTTATTACCAATTATTAATATCACTGAAAAAAAAATTTTATTTGATTCAAATAATCGGTTACTTTATTAGTATCAAATAAATATTTATTTGTATCAAATAATTTTTTATTTGAATCAAGTAAATATATATATATGAAATAATTTTTACTGGAAAAATTTTTATTTGAAATAAAATTTAATTGACTCAAAAATTATTTGGTTCAGAAAAATATTTATTTGATAATACACTGAAAAAAGAGTTTGGTATTGACAACCAAACGTTTGGTTGGTATTTAAGTAACCAAAATTTTGTTGTTGAATCAACAAAATTTTAATTGTCTCAATTAAAATTTGTTTGACACAACCAAAATTAGAAAAAAAAAGATTTTTGTTGTTCTAACTGATTGGGACAAGCAAAATTTTGTTGTTTCAACAAAAAAATTTTGGTTGCTTATATACCAACCAAACGTTTGGTTGTTAATACCAAACCTTTTTTTCAGTGTAAGTAATCGATTATTTGAATCAAATAAATGATTTTTTTCAGTTTATTACTATTTTTATTACCAATTATTAATATCACTGAAAAAAAAAATTTATTTGATTCAAATAATCGGTTACTTTATTAGTATCAAATAAATATTTATTTGTATCAAATAATTTTTTATTTAAACCAAGTAAATATTTATATATATATATATATATATATATATATATATATATATATATATATATATATATATATATATATATATATATATATATATATTTGAAATAATTTTTACTGGGAAAATTTTTATTTGAAATAAAATTTAATTGACTCAAAAATTATTTGGTTTGGAAAAATATTTATTTGATAATACACTGAAAAAAGGATTTGATAACCAAACGTTTGGTTGGTATTTAAGTAAACAAAATTTTTTTGTTGAATCAACAAAATTTTAATTGTCTCAATCAAAATTTAGTTAGGACAACCAAAATTAGAAAAAAAAGGATTTTTGTTGTCCTAACTAAAGTTTTTTTGGGACAACCAAAATTTTGTTGTTTCAACAAAAAAAAATTTTGGTTACTTAAATACCAACCAAACGTTTGGTTGTTAATACCAAACCTTTTTTTCAGTGTAAGTAATCGATTATTTGAATCAAATAAATGATTTTTTTCAGTGTATTACTATTTTTTAATTACTCTCTAAATCTGAATTAGTAAAAATGTTTACTATTTTAAATTAGTGACTCACTTTTTGCTTCTCAATTAGTAAAATTTTACTAATTATTAGTAACTTTTACTAACAATTAGTAAAATTTAACTAATTCTAAAGCAAAAAGTGAGTCACTAATTTAAATTAGTAAACATTTTTACTAATTCAGATTTAGAGAGTAGAAAATAATTTTTTAAATATTAAATGAATTGCACAATGTGTTTATTTAACCATTACAATTTAATTAAAGCCTCACACAATTTATAAAATGTACTGACTCTCTTTTTTTCATTTTTTTTTTTTTTATATTTAACTCTCATCAAACCTTAAGCGCAAAAAATGGAACGTGAGTTTGTGATCTGAGGGTTTTTACACGGCTGGATTCCGTTGCGTTTCTATAGTAATAAATTTCATCAAGGTATATATCGATAAGGGTGAAGAGAGTAAGAGGGAGTAAAATGAGGGAAAAAGACAGGTAATTCAATCAATATCCCTTTCGACTTGAAAATTTACGGTTTCATTTTTTTTTTTTTATGAAATCATGTAAACTCGTATGTGATCATAAAAAAAAAAATTAATACTATAATGCTTATATATTTTACCAAGAAGAAAAATTTGTATTTAAAAAAAAAAAATTCATTTAAAATATGTTTACTTTGCAAAATTGAATTCAAGAAAATAAATTAGACAATTTAAAAGTATGGAAAGTTTCGCAAGATTTTCAAATGAGAAAAATAAAGTTATTATATAGTTAAAAAAAAAAAAAGAAAGGAAAAATAAGATTTAAAATTGAGGCTATTGCAACTTTTTAAGAATACTTTCAAAGAATGTGTTTTCTATTTTCCATCTTATTACTCTCCTGGTTCTATTTATTTTGTTTAAAAAAAAAAATGTAAAAATAAAATAAACAGCTCTTAGTCAATTGAAAAAAGCAATTGTTAAAGTGGAATTATTTTCATGTTGAAATTATAATTCCAAAATGAGAACTGAAAATATATTAATAAATTAATATTAAATTATTGAAAATACATACTAACTTTACTATTAATTTATTAAAATTATATTAATTTACTTAAAAAAATATTTTTTCTATGCGCTATAAAAGCATAAATTGATTAAATATGCTCTAATTTTACAAAACAGTATTCTCTCTCTCTCTCTCTCTCTAAATGAAAATGTGATTTTTTTTTAATTCCATTTTATATGGAACAACAAAAAGCACTTTATTAAAATTTTAAAACAAAACTACACACATATACCTTGAAAAACATGAAGAGCTCTTTGACGAAGTTTATATTTCTGTGAGAGATTAAATGATGTTTTGATTGAATAAATTTCTAGTTCCTCAATTGTTGTTTCTAATATCTCAAGAATCTGATGAATAAAAAAATAAATTCACAAACATTATAATAATAATAATAATAAAAAAATAATTATAATAATAATCAAAATAATAATAATAATAATAATAATAATAATAATTATTATTATTAATATAATTATTACTATAGTTATAATTATTATAATAATAATTATTGTTATTAGTATAATTATAGTTTTAAATATAATTATAAAATATTTTATTGAAAATAAAAATTAATAATAATAATTATTGTTAATTATAATTTAATTAATATTTTTTTGCATTCATACCTCATTTAGAGTATATGGCTCGTCTTTAATATCTGCCATCACAATTTCAATCATTTCCTTAAGATTTTTTTTTAAACCTTCTTGAATGTCAATTAATTTTTGTATAGTCTTCCAATTAACATTTCTTTTCTTCGCTAATATCTTTTTTTTTTATCAATAAAAATAAATTAAATATTTTTTTCTGATTTTTATAAAATAATTTATTTTATTTTTTCTTCTAATAATTTTTGTATAATGCTACACTTTATATATATATATATATATACATATATAATTATAATTTGAATACGAAATTAAATCGCATTACTATTTATTCTTTTTTATTGCAGATATAATTTTATATACACTTATAGTAAGCTGATTTAATTTTGTATATTAATGATTTTCCTCTCTAGAGAAATTGTGTATATACATTTCTCATTAATAACTCTCATTATGGATAAATAATTCTGCTAATAGTTTATAACAGTGTAATATGAAATAGCTTGTGTATAATATATATATATATATATATATATATATATATATATATATATATATATATATATATATAATTGAGATAACTCACCTGTGCTGCGAACCGGCACTCTGCTACTCTGAGATTAAAGTCGGTAGTTGAAGCTTTATTGTGACACACCAGAGAGTGTGCTATTACGAAAACTGCATGTTCAGGCAATGTTATATTTGTCGCACGCAGAGGATTAAATTCTATCAATTTTGCTGAACCTTCAATTATAATATAGATTCAGAAAAAAAAAAATTAATTAATTTTTTTTTTTTTTATTATAAATTAAAAAAGAAAATTTATTTTATTTTTTCATTATAAAAAAATAATAATTATTCATATTATATATTATTATATATATACACTAGCTAAAAGAAATTTTTAAAAGAAAAATTTGTAATTTTTTATGCAAAATATATTATTATATTTAATAATAAATTAATAAAATTTTTTTAAAATTTTATTAATTTATTATTAAATATAATTTTTTAATGCCTGTTAATACATTAAATAAATAAATTAACCCCTTCGCAGTCGAGGCCAAAATCACATAAGTGGGCTCAAAATGTCAGTAAATTTTTGAATGACCAAAATTTGTGCAAATGTGTATACTACGGTATTTAAGGTCGCTGATTACGATTCCAAAGTCAGATTTTAAAAATTCAAAATGGCCGAGCCAATATGGCGGACAATTTTTTCAAAAAATGGCAAAAATGATTTTAAAATATTTAAAAATTGTTACTCGGAGGGTTTTTGGGGTCGCTGATTACGAATATAAAGTTAGATTTCAAAAAATTCAAAATGTCCGAGCCAATATGGCGGACAATTTTTTCAAAAAATGGCAAAAAATGATTTAAAAATACTTAAAAATTATTACTCAGGGTTTGTTAGGGTCGCTGATTACGAATCTAAATTCAGATTTCAAAAATTCAAAATAGCATAGTATGGGTGTGATTATTATTGTATCCATTTTGAATTTTGAAATTTTGTAATTCTGACATCAAATTCGGAATCAGCGACCCCAAAAACCCCCGATGTAACGAGTTTCAAGGGAATATGGTCAATTTTCAAAATTTTTGGTCGCCATATTGGATCCGACATTTTGAATTTTGTAAATCTGACATCAAATTCGGAAGCAGCGACCCCAAAAACCCCCGAGTAACAAATTTTAGGCCAATTCTGTCTTATTATTGGGCTCAAAATTTATGTGCGTGTATACACGTCATCGACACCCAAAGGGATAATTAATAAAATAAATAATTATTATTATAATAATTATTTTATTAAAATGAAAATTTTCACCTGCTTTGCCTAAGAAAGCAATGGCTTGGTCCATTCCTCCTCCCATTGTTCCTATATATCTTTCAGCACTCGCACTAATTGTTGCTAGCTGTTCTTTTGTCATCGAATACTAAAACAATAACAATATTTATAATATATAAGTATAATAGCACTTAAATTGATAAGAAACAAATATGTTATTATTATTTTTATTATTATTGTTATTAGGTATTATTATTATTATTATTTTGAAAGAAATTGAAAAAAGAAATCCTAAAAAATGATTAATGATTCCTTATTTAAAACAAACAACTCAAGAATATAACTTATGTCATCTACTTCCTGAATAGCTTGGGAAAAAGTTTTATACATACAAAAAAGAGTGATTAATCAAAAAAAAAAAAAAAAAAAGTGATATTCACTTGCATGTGTATTTTTTGAAGCTTTTTTGAAAACAACTTATATTAAATATATATTAACTATATTCAATTGTGAGAAATCAATACTCTTTTTGAATAATTATTATTGATTTAAAAAATTTTTATTTCCTTACTATATGAAACGATATGCAAATTAGGTAAAAGCAAGACATTCTTATGTTATTTTCATGGACAGAAGAGATATAATTATAATTTTGATATAAAAAACAGTAATTTTATGGGGAATCAGAATTTATTTAATCTAATAAATACTGTAATAAATGATAAAATAATTACTTATTTTTAATTTTACATATAAATAATTATATTTCTGTAGTGTTTGTATCCGATTTAAAAAAAATTAAATTATAATGTTAAAAGAACTATTTTAAGAGGGACAAAATTTATTTAAGAGAGGTCGAATGGTCTCTGAAATTCTTTTGGAAAGAGGAGACCTTTAATTATCGCCCTATAAAAACGGTACTAAACGTGAAAATGATAAACATTAATTTTAAAATACTTTCTTCTTGAAAGACGGACACTTTTTTTACAAAAGCAACTAGAGATTCTTATCTTATATAAATTTCCTAAATCCGAAAGATTATGCGAATCCATACAAAAACACGATTGCAAAACGAAAAATAATATAATGACAGGTTCATTACCTCCTGCCGCCGTCAGATGGCAGCAGCATGCATAGCGCACAAAGTTGCAGCTGTTATTAGATTACTTTTCTACTTTTTGTTTTGCAACCATGTTGAAAAATGGTTTTTTATTTATTTAAGAACCATAATCAAAAAGAATTTTTAAGTGCCAACTCATTTTTATTTAAACCTCCTTCTGGCGCACCCTGGAATATCATGTCAGTTTTTGCAAATTCAAAATGGCGGGTGAAATTTAAAAAATTCACCAGAGTATTTTGAATCTCATTACATTACTCAGGGGTTTTTGAGAACGCTGATTATGAATATAATGTTAGATTTTAATAATTCAAAATGGCGGATCTAATACCAGGACGAAAAAAATTTAATTTATTTTGAAATTTCTCAAAAGTGGTTATTTGAGGATTTTCAGCATTGCTAGTTTTCAATTAAAGTAAATATTTCTACCGTTTAGGGAAGGTTTATAGATTAGTTGTAATAGATAATTCATAATAGTTGTCCAAGATGAATTAATAGACGCGCGTAACGCATTAAAATAAGTTCCAGTTATTATATAATATCGTATCGTATTTTCATACGAAAAATTTAATTTATTTATAAAATAATTATTTATTTATCCCATTTATTTTGAAAAAATAAATAAATAAATTTATTAAATTAATATAATTTTCTATAATTTTTTTCTTTATTTTTATTCATTTATATTTTAAAAATTAGTTTAAAAATAGAAAAAAAACAACTAAAAAGCTTAATATCAAAAGGTATATAATTGGAATGACTGTCAGATGTATATATAACGTAAAATATCCTGACAAGGCTTTAATAGTGAACTTTCGAAACATCCTGCTTCAAAGGAGAAGTTCCGCGAGTTTTGTGGAAAGTTTGCTCATCGATTCTAAAGGAGTTAAGCCGGAAGATACCACTTCAATGCTTACGTATAATACCTCACACATATTATTTTTGCCGCCCCTCCCCCTAAAAAAAGAGAAAAAAAAGGCGTGTGATTTAAAAGCACTCTGTGTAAGATAAAATATATCTATGACATAAATAATTTTTAAAAATTGCCACTTTTTTTTATTTCGACAAATTTCCACAGTGCTGTGTACTGAATTTTTATGATTCTACAACTTTTAAATCATTTCTATTTCCCCGTGCAAGAATAATAATAATAATAATTTATTTATTTATTCAATCATACAGGCAAAGCATATATTATATTATTATATAATAAACATATATTAATAATATAATAACAATAATTATATAATAATAATAATAATAATAATAATAATAATTATAATAATATCCCTTTTCTGAATTTACTATTGGCGCAGAACTGTTGCCAGTACCGGGCCAGCTAGGCGCCAGTAGTGAATTTTCGTATAAGGATATTACAAAACTTATTTAGAAAAAAAAATTCCAAAAAAAGTTTTTCTAAATTTAATTAATATTTTATATTTATAAAAACAAATTAATAATAAAAATAATAAATGTTTGTTACCTGACAAACATGAACTGTGGACAAAGCAGCGGCAGATACAAGAGCACTAGAACTAGAAAGTCCAGAATTTGCTGGAATATTTCCCCATACTGCCGCTAACATTCCATTTGGAATATTTTCCTTTGGTATAATTTCTAATATTCCTTTAATTCCACAAAGAAAATATTTATGCCAATCGGGACCTTCGTTTGAATTATTTATATTTCGATTGCTACAAATCATATGGAAAATATACTAAAAATATAATTTTAATATTCATTTATAATCATTTAGTAATTATTTAGCAATAATTTAGTAATAATTTGTAACAGTTAAACTGCTATGTGCGAAAAAGTGACACTATTACTATTCTCGGTCTATCAGACTGCTATTTCTTTTTTTATATTTTTCTATTCTAGTGATTTTTAATTATATAATGACAACTGTCGTATGTATTTTTTATATTTTTACACTGAAAAATTATTTTATTTATAAATAATACAAGTATTTTTTTATTTTTCTTATTGAAAAATTATTTTATTATAAATAATTCAAGTATTTAGATGATTTTTGCATATTTATAGAATTACGAAAACGTCAAAACAATAATTGTAGGTTATGATGACTAAAAAAAATAATTGCGTAGGAAGATGCGCAGAAGTTACTTATATAAGAATTTACCGACTAATGCCGGTATTACAGAGACCGCTATATACGACATTTTCATAGATTTCATAAAATTTATCAAATTAAATTTTTTCAAACAATTGTCACCTAAAACTTTTTCAGAAAGTATGAAGCTGAAGTTTCTATTATGCTTTAAAAAAAAATTAACGAAAAATGTTTCGGTCTGACAGACCGCTATGAAAGTTTAAAGATTATTCTGGATTTTTTCAAAATAAAGCCAGAAGTATTGGACAATTTTTATACAATGGTCTGGGAGACCGCGATAGTAGTTTAATGGTCAATTTAGATTTGTTTAAAATTTTAAAAAGCCGGAAGTATTGGAAAATTTTTATACAGCGGTCTGGGAGACCGCGATAGTAGTTTTAAGGTTAATTTCGATTTTTTTCAACTTTATTAAGCCAAAAATAAGTATTAGACAATTTCGCGACAAATTGCGTAGTTAAAGGAAAAAAAATATATTTAAATACATCTGATGCAATTATGCCATTCACGCGATTATAAAATTACTCTTCACTGCGGTAGAAACTGCGGTAAGGCTGATGCTCCAGAGGCAGGTAGACATTAATGAAATTACATTTTTCGCCATGGCGTCATTTCTCCCCCCCCCTCTCTCTCTCTCTCTCTATTTCTCTCTTTACTGTCCTTAATTTAATTTAACCAAGCAATAAAATTACTATAATCGAAAATAAGAAATTAAAAATAAATGGAATACCTCGCTAACACGATATAAAAAATTATTATTTATATATATTTTCACTTTTTATAAATGAGAAATACGAACTAGACATTATATATATAAAGTTTCATGTTTCTTTATTATTAATCACATAGTTAGTACTAATCTCACCTTTGAATCATTAATGTGCCGGAATTTCTTCTCCTAACATATAATGAACTTCGTTAAAAGGTTCTTAGACATCTATTTATAATAATTTTTTATTAACGAAAACTTTTATCACTTTGTCATAGCACAGTTTTAATAACTCTGGAGAATATTATTGTCAATCTAAATTACCTTCACTTAAAAAAAAAAAAAAAAAAAAAACTCAACTCAAAATTATTACAACGCCGAGGTAAAATTTTTCTTTTTCATTAAATAAATAATTTTATGGATAAAATAACAATTTAAATCAAAAAGGAATTAAGATAAAATTTTTTTTTACATAAGTTATAAACAATTGAAATTTTTAGCTGCCTTAAATAAAAAAATAGTTTATCGACATCCAGTTGAAAATTTAGAAACAAAAAAGGTTTTTCTTGTTCTGGAATATGGTATTTAAAAAAATTTTTGTTCAAAAAAAATTGTTATTTTAATTATTTTTTAAAATTGTTTACTTATTAAATGTTAATAAAAAATTTGTTTATTATTATTATTTATTTATTTTTTATTTATTTATTATTTAGAATTTTTATTTTCAACTAATTCTCTTTTTAAATATTCTCGTTCCAAGACGAGAAATACTTTTTTTTTGTTTTTAAATTTGTTAACTGGATCTAGAAAAAAAATTTTTTATTAAAGTAAAAATTTCAATTGTTTATAACTTGTAGTAAACAATTTTTTTGTTAAATTATTTATTTTATTATTTTTATTATTATTATTAATTTATTGTCAGACACTATTCACGGTTGGACACTTCGCTTTTCTTAAAATAAAAACACTAGCGCCATCTATGCACGAACGTGGCGAAGCTTCTCGTAATGAAACCTAACTTTTTGTGACATTACAATTTTGGAGGATTAAAAGTAGCGTCTGCTGTGACGTCGGTGCATTTGTAGTAACGAAAAAAGTTTTGTGAGCGATATGATTAAACATAAAAAATGAATAAAGAAAACAAGACATGGGCAATTGCATGTACTCTGGGGTTCATAATTGAAGAAAAAATGAAATGAAAAATCGAAACAAAAAACATATCTGGTTATGGTTACCACAATTCGAAAATGTTACTTCTAGTTAGGGTTGGAGAGTTTATACACTCAGGGTTGGACACTTTGTTAATTATTATGAATTTGGCACAATTTATAAATAAATATACAAATAAACATTGACGCACACACACAGCACATAATCTGACAAAGATATTAGAAAAATAATAATAACGTATAATGTCCAACCAGATTTTTCTTTTTTTAAAATGATCAGAACTTTTTTAATTTTAGACCAATCAATTTACGATCTTCAGTAAAAGTGTTCCTCTTTTGTACATCTTTCTAACAATATAACTCAATTGACTAAATTTATTTTTTTTAAACAAGATTATAAAGAAAGTCGAAAACAGTGTCCAACCCGGAGTATATTCCCCTAATAATAATAATAATAATAAAAATAATAATAATAAAAAAAAAAAAATAAAATCAGATTGAAATAAAAAAATTAGATTTAAATTAAAAAAAAATCACGATTCTTATCAGCCCTGAATATTTGTCATATATTTTTTTTTGTTGGCTGTAGGAAATAAATTGAAATAAATTTATTGAAAAATTATATATTATAATATTTATTTATATACCTTATGCCTTTAAAATCTTGACATTTAAAATCCGTATATTTTGGATCAAAATTACTGACATGAAATTCATCTGTTTCTGATGGAGCAACAGCGACAAGTATAAATTGCTGAATAGCCATTGGACAAACTGCGTAACCACAATAATCGACATGTTCTCCAATTATGTTGACGCTAAAGGATAATACACCAAACTATATATTGGGGGTTCAAACTTAATTGCAAATCAATTTTCAAATATATATATAAAAAAAAATAATAATAATCTTTATAATAATTTTCAATTATCAATATTATATTAATAATATTAAATATTTTCTAATTACCGTCCAGGTACACGGACAAAAAATGAAGGTGGACAATTAAATTTATCACGAAAATGATTTGTTAATAATTCCATTTTATTTTTTAATAATTCATCTGCTTCCAATAGTGGAACATTATCTTCATTTTGTTTAATGGATTCTGTGGTCATTTCTGTAAATATTTTTTTTTTATTTAAAAAAATTTTTTTATGGTATTTACGGTTCATTTTTTATTCATGTAATAGAGATTGCTTTTGAAGGTAACAAAACAAAAAATTCACACGTATATTTATTTTTTTTAATAATTTAGAGAGTTTTTTATTTTATTAAAATTTTTTCTCTCTCTCTCTCTCTCTTTATGTTACATAGTCGCTTTGAAGTGGTTTTTGAATATTTATTTTATAAATAAAAAAAAAGTGTATGTGGCTATATGTGAAAGTAATTTGAGATATCAACTTGTTTAATCAATTTTCACAGAACCGAATTTTATTAATATATTAAACAAAAAATAAAATTGATGATTTTTAATAAAATACATATATAATGTTTGATTTTATAATAAATTGAACGAAAATCATTTCGTTTCAGTCTGGAAACAAAAATTATTTTCTCTCTACATTTGAATTAGTAAAATTTTTAACTAATTTGAATTAGTACTATTTGCTTTTGAATTAGTTAAATTTTACTAATTTGATATTTTTTTTACTATTAATTAGTTAAAATTTACTAATCTGATACTGATTACTAAAAATTAGTAGAATTTTTTTTTACCAATTTTAACTGACTAAAAATTGGTAGAAATTTTTACTAATTTAAATTAGTGAACTATAAACTATAAATATTTATTTATTATAAATATTTAATTTACTAAAAATATTAATTTATTAAAAATATTTATCTATCATAAATATTTATTATAACATAGAATGTCAGTACAAAATTTTATTATTTACACTTTATAATCTTTATATGAAGCCTTTTACAAATTTTATATTGAAAATAAATCATTTTATCATCGATAAAACAAGAAATTATTATATTATTTGCCGGTTATTGTGTTTCATAAATATAAAAGCGACTATTTGTTGATTTAATAAACTTGAGTTGATTGAATAGAGTACTCTATTGTCATTAACCCATTTTTGCAAAGCTCAATTAAATTCACAGTATAATTCTTATTATATTTGATGCATGCTAAGAGCAATAATTTTATTCTGAATAGAAGAATTTTTTTTTTAAAAGGATTTTAACAAAACTTGTTTATTATACAAAGCAAGGAATAATAAAATTCACATTTCAGGAACATGTCATTGAAATATTCGGAATATTCCTTTCAAATATTCCGCACCCATATTCCAGAAATATTCTTCTAAATATAAAAAAATATTACTTTAAAATATTCCGTCAATTTTCTAGGAATAATCCTTTGTAACATTTGGAATATAACATTTATATTCTAGAAATATTCCATTCTTGTTCTAAGAATATTTCACCTTTTTAGGAATATTCCATTATTATTCTAGAAACATTCACTTGGATTGTTCGACATATTCTATTTGTATATTTCTGTAATATTTCTTTGGAATATTTAATCCATGTTCTTGGAATATTTAGAGTATTTCTTCGGAATATTCCATCCAAATTCAGTAAATATTTCAATAATATATATTTTTTGAATTTATGTTCTATAAATATTCCTTTGGATTATTCAAAATATTCAATCTACATTCCAGTAATATTGCTTTGGAATATTCCATCCATATTCTTGCAATATTGGGATTATTTTTTTTGGAATATTTCATTCATATTCTAAAAAATATTCCTTCGTATTATTTGGAATATTCAATACATATTCCAATAATATTTTTTGGGAATATTCTATCTATATTTTTGGAATATTTATTTCGAATATTTAGAATATTACATCCATATTATAGGAAAATTCTATCCATATTATAGAAATATTTCTTTGGAATCTTCTATCCATATTCTAGAAATACTTCTTTGGATTATTCGTAAAATTCCATTCATATTCCAGAAATATTTCTTTGGAATATTCCATCTATATCACATAAATATTCCGTTAGATTATTCGAAATATTCTATCCATATTATAGGAATATTTATTTAGAATATTTTATAAATAATCTTGGAATATTTCCTTGGATTATTTGGAATATTTAATTCATAATACAGTAATATTTCTTCGGAATATTTCATCTATATTGCAGTAATATTTCTTTGGAATATTGTATCCATATTCTGGAAATACTTCTTTGGAGTAGACGAAATATTCTTTTCATATTCCTGTAATATTTCTTTGGAATATTCTATCCATATTCTTGGAATGTTTCTGTCTATTATTTGGAATATTACATCCATATTCTAGAGTATATTCGGAATATTTCTTCGGAATATTCCATTTATATTCCAGTAATATTTCTTTGGAATATTCTATTCATATTCTGGAAATACTTCTTTGGATTATTCGAAATATTCCATTCATTTTCCAGAAATATTTCTTTGGAATATTTCATCTATATCAAGGAAATATTCTGTTAGATTATTCGAAATATTCTATCCATATTATAGGAATATTTATTTAGAATATTTTATAAATAATCTTGGAATATTTCCTTGGATTATTTGGAATATTTAATTCATAATACAGTAATATTTCTTCGGAATATTTCATCTATATTGCAGTAATATTTCTTTGGAATATTCTATCCATATTCTGGAAATACTTTTTTGGAATAGACGAAATATTCTTTTCATATTCCTGTAATATTTCTTTGGAATATTCTATCCATATTCTTGGAATGTTTCTGTTTATTATTTAGAATATTACATCCATATTCTAGGGTATAATCGGAATATTTCTATGGAATATTCAATTAATATTATAGAAATATTCCGTTGGATTATTCGAAATATTCTATCCATATTATAGGAATATTTCTTTGGAATATTCTATCAGTATTCTTGGAATATTCTTGGAATATTTCCTTGGTCTATTCGAAATATTTCATTCATATTCCAGAAATATATATATTTTTGAAATATTCTTTTGCCATATTCGGAATATTTCGTCTATATTCCAGGAATATTTTTTTGGAATATGCGAGCGTTATTTTAGTAAAAATATAAAAATTAAAAAAATTATAAATGTGAATGATAAAACAAAATTTAAATAAAAAATATTTTTCACTGGAAAGGAGATAAAAAAAGAATTTTTTTTCGCGAAATGTTTTATCTTCTTTCTTATCAAAATTTCATATTTAAAAATCGTATATATATATATATATATATATATATACACGTCAAATGAAAATAATATATTTATATGCATGTCAATATATAAAAATTTAAATAGCGAGATAGCTTACCTCGCTTGATTTTATTGATTACTATGAAACGAGTGTTGTTATAGAAGCACACAAAAGAAATTGGAAAAAAAAAATTCTATTGCAACAGTAGATACACCAGCTTTTATATGGGAAATGATATTATTTATTTTATCCAAAAAAAAAAACCAATGCGCGTGGCACTATAGTGTATATAAGAAGATGTTTCCACTTAACTCCACGCGATGTCAGGTTTGATCCAAACAACTTTGAGTAAAATTTTTGTATATATACATATATAAAATAAAATTTATATAAAAAAAAATAAATTAATTAAAATTTGACAAAAACTCACTGCGTTTAATAAAAAATTATTGCTGTTGGTCAGTTGTAATTGTTTGAAACTTTTTTTTTTTTATCTTGATAATAGATTAACGTTATCACTCACTGACATATTTACGCCGGCTTTATAACGATTTGTATGCCAACGTTTCTTTAAAATGCCACGTGAAGCGTTGTAAGCAAAAATTTATTCTTGGCCCTCTTTTGGTTACAATAATTACGAATAAAAGTCTCTTCAAAATAATATTTAAAGATAAAAATTTGTAAGATTGTAAAAATTAGGAAAATAATTTTTTAAAACATTTTTTTTTGGGTAAAATTGGAAATCTATTAAAATGGGATATTTTTGTATAAAATTAGTTTTTGGGGAAAAAAAATAGTTTGGATTTCAGCTGAAGGTATTTTCAAATCGAGGGATGGTAAACCGGTTTGGCTTTATAGAAATCAGAGGGTCACGTCTGTATTTTCGATTGTGTAGGGAATGATGATTCAATTCTCGACTGCCGGTAAGAAGGAAAAGAAGAAAAGGCATTAACTGTTTGTTGATAATAAACTGCATCATCGACAGTTGATATACTCTTTTCGAAAATTCATCATAGTTGTTGCGTTGTTATATAGATGGAAGTGTTTTTAATTTCAAATTTATGTAGTAAAAGTAAATTTAAGGAACAATTTATTATTAAGTAGAAAAAAGCGTGATAATCAAATTTTTTTTGATGTAGAAAAAGTAATTTTTTCTGTTGGATTTTCGATTTAAGTAGAGTAATCTGTATTAGTCAGGTAAATTTTAGTTTTAAGTAGAAAAAGTAGTACTTTTTAGGTAGATTTTCGTTTTAAGTAGAAAAATGTGTATCAGACAGACAACTTCTGTTTTAAAGTAGAAAAAATACTTGGGCCAGGTAGATTTTAGTTTCAAGTAGAAAAAATTGTATTAGTCAGACAAATTTTAATTTTAAGTACAAAAAGTAGTTCGTTTTAGGTAGATTTTCATTTTAAGTAGTTAAAATTGTATCAGACAGACAACTTTTGTATTAATGTAGAAAATATACTTAGGCCAGGTTATTTTAGTTTTAAGTAGAAAAGACTGTATTACTCAGACGAATTTTAATTTTAAGTAGTAAAGGTAGTTTTTTCTAGGCAGATTGTGGTTTCAAGTAGAGAAATCTGTATTAGTTAGAGGAATTTTAATTTTAAGTAGAAAAAGTAGTTTTTCTAGGTAGATTTTGGGTTTAAGTAGAAGAAAGTGTATTAGACAGACAACTTCTGTTTTAAAGTCGAAAAAATACTTGGGCCAGGTAGATTTTAGTTTCAAGTAGAAACAATTGTATTAGTCAGATAAATTTTAATTTGAAGTAGAAAAAGTAGTTCTTTTTATGTAGATTTTCGTTTTAAGTAGAAAAAAGTGTATCAGACAGATAACTTTTGTTTTAAAGTAGATAATATACTTGTGCCAGGTTTTTTTTTAGTTTTAATTAGAAAAAACTGTATTAGTCAGACGAATTTTAATTTTAAGTAGTAAAGGTAGTTCTTCCAGGTAGATTTTAGTTTTAAATAGAAAAAAGTGTATTAGTCAGACACTTTTCGTTTTAAAGTAGAAAAAGTAATTTAGTCAGAGACAATTTATTATTAAGTAGAAGAAAATAGTTCAGTCAGACAAATTTTGTTTCAAAGTAGTAAAAGTTTATTTGTCAAATACAATTTAATGTTAAGTTGAAAAAACTATATTATTCTTAAACATTTTGATTCTAAGTAGAAATAGCTGTATTTGTCAGACTGATATTTTTTAACGAGAAAAGTGTAGTTTTGTCAGACATAGTTAATTTTTGCCTACAGAAAAAATTGGTTTTTTAAAAAAAAATTTTTCTAAGTAATAAAAACTTTTTTGGTCAGACGTACATAATTAATTAACTTCAAAAAATAGTAATATCAGGCAAATTTTCTTTTAAAGCAATAGAAAAAGTAGTTTTCCCAAACAGAATTGATATTTTAAGTAGTAAAAACAAATTTGTCAGACTTTTGGTTTTTAAGTAGTAAAAGCATTTTGATCAGACACATTTTTTTCTTTAATCAAAAATACTATATTTCCGTTAATTAACATATGTAAATAAATAAATATTTATTATTTATATTTGTAATAAAATAGTTCTGCCAATAAAAATTATTTTTTAAGTAGTAAACAATTAGTTTAGTCAGACGAAATTGAATCTTAAAAAAAATTATTCACACCAAGTTGAAAAAGTATATATTTAGTAATAACAAAAAAAATTTCAATCAAATTATTATTAAATTTATAACACAGTTTGAAATATTTAACAAATAATTATTATTAAAAAAATAAGAAAACTAAAATAAACAATCATTCTTGAAATTTTTACAATGCCGTGCTTTAACATTAATGAAAGTTTGTGGTTCATTTTCCTGACAGTAAACATAACGTCAATGTTTTTGAGGTTCAACAAATCGCTGGAGGTAATTTTAAAGCGGGTACGTTGATGGGAAGGGGGGGGGTGGGGGGGTATTCAACGAAAATCGCTAACGGTCCGTCCATTAAAAGCGTTCCTCTTTACCCCTGACTTTTATTATACAATCATAAGTAATTCGTATTACTTTCCTCATAAATCCACTAGATTCGCAGCAGGGGAATATAACCAACAAGAGTAAGTGAGAGAGAGAAAAAGCCCAGTGACGAATTATGTTTCTTTTACTACCGTTGCAGACTTCGATTTAGTTCATAGCATCTAGCATTTTACAGCTTATTTCATTAGTACACTATACACACACACACATACATATATTCTTGATTAAGAAAATAAAGAAAATACTCTATGAACGAAAGGAAAATTCCTAATATCAATTTTACTATGATTAGAAAAAATATAATTTTTTTTTATTTTATCAAAATTTTAGCACTTAGAGAAAAATTTGTTTGAAACATCTAAAACATTTCTAATATAACCTAACCTAATCTAACAATTCCTAATCTAATATAACCTAACCTAACTTAACTTAATCTAACAATTTCAAACCTAACCTAAGTAAACCTAACCTCACCTAACTTAATCTAAGAATTTCTAACCTAACCATTCCTAATCTGACCTAAGCTAACTTAACTTAACCTAAACTAACTTAACCATTCCTAATCTAATCTAACTTAACCTAACCTAACCATTTCTAATATAACCTAACTTAATCTAACAATTTTTAACCTAACCCCACCTAACTTAATCTAACAATTTCTAACCTAACCATTCCTAATCTGACCTAATCTAACTTAAATTAACCTAAACTAATCTAAACTAACTTAATCATTCCTAATCTAATCTAACTTAACCTAACCTAATCTAACAATTCCTAATGTAATATAACCTAACCTAACTTAATCTAACAATTTCTAACCTAACCATTCCTAATCTGACCTAAGCTAACTTAGATTAACCTAAACTAATCTAAACTAACTTAATTATTCCTAATCTAATCCAACTTAACCTAACCTAACCATTTCTAATATAACATAACCTAATCTAACAATTCCTAATCTAATATAACCTAACCTAACTTAATCTAACAATTTCTAACCTAACCTAAGTTAACCTAACCTCACCTAACTTAATCTAAGAATTTCTAACCTAACCTAAGTTAACCTAACCTCACCTAACTTAATCTAACAATTTCTAACCTAACCATTCCTAATCTGACCTAAGCTAACCTAACTTAACCTAACTTAGCCATTTCTAATATAACCTAACCTAATTTAACGATTCCTAATCTAATATAACCTAACCTAACTTAATCTAACAATTTCTAACCTAACCTAAGTTAACCTAACTTAACCTAATCTAACCATTCCTAACCTAAAAGTTTTGTTTGTTTTCCTTCATTATATAAAAAAAATTTGGCGAAATTTGCAACATGAATTTTCGCAAGAATTTCCGTAAAATTTTTCAGTGGTCAATTCCTGAGTACTTTTTTTCACGTATAGGATTAAACTGTTTGGTTAAGTCAAATGAACTTTTTCTCTCATTAATATATAAAAATTTAGTTCTCAGTTTTTATTCTATTTTGATGAATAAATTTTTTTTCTTATTAAGAAGAGAAGTTTCTCTCTCTCTCTCTCTCTCTCTCTCTCTCTCTCTCTCTCTTTGTAAATATGATTGAATATATCTAGACAAAAAGGCAAGCTTTGCAAAAAGAATATAAAGAAAAATAGACAAGTGGAGCCCTCGGTAGTTCTGATTCGAGACAGTTTTTGCTGAAACATCGCGTCGTTGATCCGGAATTTTCCAGGCTGCTTGGTTTATCGCTTGGCGATCCCTCTGTTCATACTCTGTGTTACAAGCCCCTTTCCAGAGCCTCCGACTCCGCCTTTACGAAAGAACCAAGTATGTACCTCGAGAGAACTTCTGCCAAGGTTGATCTTCAACTTTATCATGTCAAATTCCTTTTTCCTACATCCAGAAAAATACTTTCTTTCCATCTATCTATATATATAAAAAAAAGAAAAAATATTCCTAAAAAATATCCAGTTTTAGTTTCTACATAAAAAGAAAAACTAAATATTTTAATACTGTTATCCAAAATAATAAAAATTTACTAATTTTTTTTTTTGAGGATTTCTTAACAATTTAAAAATTTTAAGATTTTTTTGAAAAATAAATATGAATTAATTTATTTTATAATTATTGAAAATAATATAATATTATGAAATAAAAATAAATAAAATGTAATGTAAAATATAATATTTAAATAAAAAATAAATAAAAATAAAAAATACTAAAAAATTAGTTATTTTCCTATATCGAAAATTGACTACTGGCACAGTACTGTAAACGCTGAGGCGGTAGTATAGTGGTACCAGTACTGCGCCAGTTGTGAACTTCATCAATTTCCGGTATTGTATAAATATTTATTTATTTAATTATTCATTAATTTATTTTAATATTTTACGTTATTTTGACATTTGTTTTTCTTGACGCGAATTGGAAATATTTTTGATTTTTTAACAATAAAAAAATAATTTTAGTTTTCTTATACTATTCATTTAAAATAGACCTATAAAGAAAATGATATGATTTATTTATTCTATATATATATATATATATATATATATATATATATATATATATATATATATATATATATATATATATATATATATATA